CTGAAGTTTATAAAGAGTCCAGATACTGTTTGTGTGCAAACATTTAAAAATGCCAATACTCACCTTTCTCAGAAAAGGGAAGAGGAGCTTTCTGAGTTCAACTGCCACCAAGTGGGTCACAAGTGACTTTGGAAACTAATACGAAGATCAGAAGGTCTGTCATCTGCCTGGTCAGCCTCATCTTAGAAAGAGAAAGATCTGCCAAAAAGCAAACCCAAAATGAAACCCCAAACTACCAACCTCTAAAAAGCCAAAAGCCAGGAAAAATTTAAAAACCAAAAAAATCCTACAGATGGAATTAATACATTCAACTGACAGCTATTTAATCTGCCCACTCCTTTCCACCACCACCCCCTTAGCCCCATTTCTCACCCCATCCTTATACAAACCTGTTTTCTTAATTAAGCAAGTAGTGATTCACACCAGGCAAATGTATACTTTTAAGATTTGCATACTTAGTTTCCCTGTTTCTTTGGAGAGGCTCATCCTTGATCAGGAAGCAAAACTCCAGCCTCCACAAGGTGTTTAGTGGTTCCTGGGAACTGTGACTTCTTGAAGCTATTCTTCTAGTGGATCCAGGGAATTATCTTACTAATTGCAGTGAGAACATGAGGTTTGGTTACCTACCCTGTGGCTTCTTGCATGCAACAGAACCTGTAAATGAAAACACAGGTAGGCATCTCCTTCTCTGTAACTTAGTATAACCACTTAAATGGAATGCTAAGTGAACACCAACAAAAGGATGATAGAGTGCTCTGACATCAAGCCTGTCGCCTTCCATTTCCCACAAATCCCAACTCTACCAACAGCCCTGATTTCAGTTGAACTGCCCACTATACACATTCTGATGGGCCCTTACTGGGCAGTTTTACTGAAAACCAGGGTAAAGCTTACAGGAAAACTGGTGCACAGGAGGGCCATCTTTTATTCACTCACAGAGCAGCCATGGGCAAGCTGCTGGACCTCAGTGGGTTTCTGTCTCCTCATCTGTAAAATGAGAGTGTTGACAATACCCATCTCATGGCGGGGAACTGAGTTAATACATATTAAACTCATTGATGAATAATGCCTAGAACATGGTAAGCACTGTGTCTGAATTTGCTATTACAGTACAGAAGGTCCCCAACTTAACAACAGTTTGACTAACTGTTTCTTGACTTTACGATGGTGTGACAGTGGTATGCATTCACTAGAAAATGTACTTGGGATTTTGAATTGTGATCTTTTCCCAGGCTAGTGATACTTTTTTTTGTTTATGAAGGTAAACAACCAATATACTTGTAACATTCTGGGGGGAAAAAAAAAACATTCCATTCCCAGACAACCATTCTGTTTTCCACTTTCAGGAGAGTATTCAATAAATTACATGAGACATTCAACACTTAACACACTTTGTGTCAGATGACTTTGCCTGACTGTAGGCTAATAATGCATGTGTCCTGGGGAGGTTTAAGGTATGCTCAGCAGAACTATGATGTTTGGGAGGTGATGTGTATGGAATGCATTTTTGACTTACTATGTATTTCCAACTTATGATGGGTTTATCAGAACATAACCCCTCGGTCAATCAATGAAAATCTGTATATGGGGCTTCCCTGACGGCTCAGTGGCAAAGAATCCACCTGAAAATGCAGAAGACACGGGTTCGATCCCTGATCGGGGAAGATCCCACACCAAGCCCGTGTGCCGCAACTACTCAGCCTGTGCCCCAGAGCCCGGGAGCTGCGACTCCTGAGGCCTGCGCACCCTGCCTGCTGCGCGCCGCAGCAAGGGAAGCCTCTGCAGCGAGGAGCCCGGGCCGCACAGCGGGTGGGCTGCCCGCTCAGCACACCAGAGGAAAGCCTGTGCAGCGATAAAGACCCAGTGCCGCCGAAAATGAGTGAGTTAAAGTTATAGATGATATGCGTTTTACTATATAATGCAATATATTTAATACATTTATATAGTAATATATACATATTATGTGAAATGTTTTAATAATATATATTATATATAAACACACATATATAAAAGATATGTATATAGACTCCTCCTTTCATTCAAAAACAGAAAAATTCCTAATTAGGATCACCTGACAAAGTCCCAAAACAGTGTACAAATCCTTGAGAACTAACTTTGCAACATAAGAATATTCATTTAATTATCAATTGATGACAAATTCCTTGGGCAAGAAGCGAACTCCCTTAAAGGGATAAAAATTCCCACATTCCCAACTGCACCTTGGGTAAGTAAACCCAGGCTGAACTTCTAAACTAGATTCTTCTGGATATTTTTGTGAAAAAGACCGATGTTGAGCCATCATTTCTATCATAATACTTTCACTTGCAAAGCAGCTATGGCACTTAGATGTTCTCCCCTCCACCAGTTGGTACAGCTTTGCGCCTGCTTCCCCACCTCCTCTCAGGGTTAGTGCAGTAGTAAAATCACTCGTCTCCACCAGGCTTGGAAGCCTATGAAGAGAAGCAGTTGTGTACCCAATCCTGTGAGAGATAGTCACAGTGATTCAAAAAAATATAGATAATTTAACGTTGAAAGTGGTCTCTTTTTAAGAGTGGGAGGGGACCTCCCTGGTGGTCCAGTGGTTAGGAATCCGCCTGCCAGTCCAAGGGACATGGGTTTGGTCCCTGGTCTGGGAAGACCCCACATGCAGAGGGACGACTAAGGCTGTGTGCCACAACTACCGAGCCCATGCGCTGCAACTACTGAAGTCCAGGCTCTCCAACAAGAGGGGCCAGCACGATGGGAGCCCGCCCGCCACAGCTCGAGAAACCTGCACACGGCAGCAAAGACCCAGCGCAGCCAACAAACAGATGCAGTTTTCTAGGTGGGAGGTCTCAGGAAAGGACTAGGTGGTGGAGGAGACTTGCTGAGGAGGGGACAATGTTCTATCTTGGCCGTGGTCACAGGGCAGCCACTTCATAGTAATTCTTTATTCACATGCTTCACACACTTGTATGTATACACTTCATACACCTCTAAATATATGTATATTTCACAAAACAACTGTTTCGGGAATGTGGGCAGATACTCACCTCCAGTTATCTTCCCCAGATGGTAAGGCAAAGGAAGGTGACATTTGGAAGAACAAACGTGAACCATGCAAACCTGTCACATTTCAGCCCATGTCCACAATTACCTTCAAAAGCAGTTCCTCCCACTCCCATGACCTTTTATCCAGCATACTGCCATAAATAAAAACACACAAACATGAACTAACAACTTCAACTTTTAATAATGGAAACAATTTACCATTCCAGAAACAATTTTAGGGGGAAAAAAACTCTTTCCCCATAAAAATAAACTTAAACTCATGAAAATTATAAATATTATAATTTTTTTTTTTTTACTTCTGTGATTTAAAATGCTCCCCTGCAATACCACCCCTTCATTTAACCTCGTTCCTGTACCATCACATACTGAAGAGAAAACAGTATTACAGCAAAGCTTAGATAGTTTAATTTAACATAAGAATTTGTACAATAACTTTTTAAAATCTGTGGCCTCAGTGGCCTCTTACACATTAAAAATGCGGCAGTCACCAGTGTTCGGGAGAGACCATTGGTCTTCAAGAATCATGAACCGACAGGACTTCAACACAGTTAAGTTTTCCAAACTGAAACTTGTAGTGCAGATGACAATGAGTGAGGTCCCGGATCATACAGACGAGGATGCCTAATTTAGACAATCTACTTCAAGTAAAAAAAAAAAAAAAAATTTCACAGATACCCATCAGGTAACTACTTTAAGGTTCGAACAGTGTCTTAATCTGAGAAACAACGGCTTCACAAAATATGAGCTTACTGGGATGGGTAATTAAAAGACCAGGTGGCTGATAACAGTACACTCACACCAAAGCCATAGTCTGAACAGTAAAACCAGTATAAAAATCATGAAGGCATTCCCTGAACAATGAAGGTAAAGAATTGGTTGACAATGTCACTAAAACCTCATTGAGGCACTAAAAGGAACTTACATGCAAAATTAAACAAGATGTGCCATACATATTTTATAGCTAGTTCTACCTTTTTTTTTTGGTTTCTTTCCAACTTTCCTTAAAAAGCTTAGGAAGATATGATTGTCTCAGTAATGTGTGTGGCATAGCAGAAGCGACACATCTGCCTCCAATAAGACGGGTGTTCTCTGAAAAGTCAGAAGATCCACCAAGAGGGGAACAGAAATGCAGTTCTTAAAAAAGGCACAGTTCACTTAGGAGGCCAAGAACTGAAGCACCTTGGAATTTCAAAAAGAATCCATTAGGTGTCACCAAAGTGTTAACAATTCCTTGGGAATTTATAAACAATATCTAGACTACAAATAGAGTGGAAGGCCCCTCTGGAAGCACAACACACCTTTCCTGTTGTTTTCAGATTAACTACTGCATAAAATGAGACTATTTAACCTGTTTTAAGGAAGGCTCCTATTGCACATGCACTTCTTTGGTCTGCAGGAACATGCACTTTGGTTAAAAATCTAAGAACCCCCCTCCTCTGTGGTCCGCTGGGAGTGGACGCTGCCCCCCGCTCCCACTTTACCGTCACCCTTCGGAACTGAGGACCTGGGTCGTCCTGGGCCTCCTTAATCCACACCCCTGTTCCACATCAGTCTTCTTCAGTTCATAAGAGGAGAAGGGAGAGCAGTGAGGGGAGGGAAGGAGGAAGAAGGGAGGGGAAGGCTAAAGGGAGAGGAGCGAGTGATAAACAAGAGTGCTGAGAGCCCCTCACTTTACAAATCACTCGACAAGTCCCAGTTGGGGGGTGGGGGGGCGTTGGGGGGCTGGGCGGTACACTGCCTCCTCCCGAACTCCTTTTCCGCTTTGAAAAGCAACCTCAGGGGGAGACTGTAACGTCACAGGGGTCAGAGCTGGCGCTCTGCGCCCGGCCGGCCCAGAGAAGCTGCACACCCATCAGACCTCCCGCCCCAGAAGGGCGGGGAGGGCGCGGGCTCACCAAGATGGCGGCTCACCAAGATGGCGGCTCCCGCTGCCTCCCCGGCGGCTGGGTCCAGCTCCTACTTTCTTTGGTTTCCGTTCCCACGTTTTACTCACCAGGAAATCAAGCACTATGACAATGGATTTAATGTCTCTAAACTGAAAGCTTTTAACCCCTCAACAAGCAAGTTCACCTCCTTCTCCACCATCCACTTACCCAAACCACCTTCCCTCAAGGCTCCCCACCTCCACCCTCCAACTTCTTCCATCCCTCCTCTTTCCTCTCTGTCAGACTCCTCCAAAATCCTTCACCAACTCCTCAGCGCCCCTAGCTTCCTGTGCCCTTCAATTCACATGAATTGTTTCCTCCGACATTAAAAACAAAACAAAAAAACCCCAGTAACAGACAGGTAGTTTCAAGGTAAGACAAGTATTCAGAAATAGTCTTTGTTAAGCTTTTAAAAAATCATTTGCACAACCTTAAGCTTAACATCATCATATACTCAACTAAAAGAAAATAAGGAAAAAAACACAACTCAAAGTCCATGCTTCAAAGCACTCTAGAATGCTCCAGATGAGACCACAGGTTCACAGCTTGCCAAGAGGTAACACCGTGGTGCCGTTAACAGAACAAGCTTCCGGAATCCCTGACAGAGGACGCCCAAGCTGCAGCATGCTGTGTGACCAGTTTGGGGGAACTAGATCTAGAGATTTGTAAAAAGGAAAGGCCCTAGCATCATAGGGCAAGAAAACCGCCCTCCGACAAGAGAGACCCTGGCCGCCGGCGCACACGCAGGTCCCGTGCCGTCCCTGGGGGGCAGGGAGCCCCCACTTTACCCCGGTTTCCACGCCTGGCTGAGGGCTTCTTCCAGCTTGTGTCTGTAGGCCGCATAGCGCTCCTTCAGGTTCTGTAGCTGCTCGTCTTCTTCCTTGTCCAAGATCCTCAAGAAATTCTGTAGCTCCGGCAGGCTGAAGGCTTCCCACTGTGAAGGAACACAAAAATGAAAAACGCCAGGTGTTTATTAATTCAAGACTTAGGAACGAGGAGGGCGGGGAGCACAGGGGAGTGTGATTGCCTTCCCCTCCTGACTCACACTGCCCAGTGCTGCCCGGCCGTCTCAGAAGGCCTGGTGGACAAGAGCTGAGCCCCCTGACCAGCCTCACATCCCCACCTCGGCTCACTCCCACTGCCCGCTGCTCCCCTCCTCCCAGCCTCCTCCAAAAGGGCTCTAAGAGCGAACACCTAACTCCAGGAGACACTAACCCTCAGAAGCATGAAGTGGAGCTCCACACTCCCTCCCCCCTCCCTCTCCGTGGGTTCCTCACTGTCACTGCCTTCTTCCCCAGTTCCCACGATCAATCTCACCCCTCCTATCCACCACCATCTTCCCCTCCAACCCTGGGCTAGCCTCCCAGCTCCACTTTTCCATTCCCTAATCTGTTCCCCCAAACAGCCAGCCTGAATACTCTCTCTAAAATGCCAATCGAGGCATGACCGTCCATGTCTGGAAACATTCAGTGGTTTCCTGTGGTTGTTTCTGCTAAGTCTGAAAGACCGTCCCCTCTCCAGTCCATCTCTGTCCCTGCGCCCCTCACTCGTTGCCCTGTGTGGCTCTGCACACGCTTTCCCCTCCTCCACTCTGCCGGTGAACTCCTCCGCAACCTTCAAGTCCCAGATTCCATGCCACTCTAAGAAACCTTCCATGATTTCCTTCCCTTCTTGCTCAGTCAGGATTATGTCTTTTAGAAACTTTCACTGAGCACTGGAAGCCCTAATCACAGCCTGATCACAAAAGACCTAAACAGTGTTATAATTATTTGGTTAGTATTTCTCTTGTCTGCACTGCATCTGTTATACTTCCAACTATGTGGGCTTTGTCTTTGGCCCTTGAGCTTCTGACTTCGTTTTCCCTAATAGCACCTGGTACTCAGCAGGCACAAAATGTTTATGGTATTTTTCTAAAAAAAAAAAAAAAAATTTTTTTAAGCAGTAAATATCAAGAAGGGTATGTGGCATCACCTGGGAGGTTTCTTTCCAAACTACACCTCCTCCCCTCCCAAAAGGAGGCCCTCAGTCCTGGGCTGAGCACCACTATCTCGGCCAGGAGCAATGTCTGATGGGGGGGACTCCCGGGGGATGGGAAAAAACAGGATAACCTATTACAAGTGCCGAGAGAGGAGACAGAATAAAATCACCAAATGGATCGATGACTGAAGGAAATTGGCTCTTGGAGACTGACTGAGCTAGTTACTAAAGAAAGTGAGAGGTGAAGCGGGAGAACAAAACTGTCTATATTAGAATACTCAGTTAATTTGAAAATTAACAATTTATTTTTCACAAAAGTTCTCCAAAATAAAGACATTATAAATTAGCATCTCCCTCCCACTCTCTGACAGCTATGGAAAGTTTCTTCTCTCAATTCAGTTAACCTCAAAAACTTGAGACACAGGCATACCATAGAGAGGTCAGAAAGCAATCCAGAATATTAGAACACAATGTAGAGTGAATTTCAAAACTAAGCCAATATAATTCCCTCCCAGACAATGCAGCTCCAATTACACTAACTAAACTATGTGCAACACTCAGAAACTAGGACCAAGAAAGATAAGATGCTACAAGACTATGCTGATATGACTGACTTGTGTGCAGAGGGTAGACTATCAGTTCAGTTCAGTCACTCAGTCGTGTCCGACTCTTTGCGACCCCATGAACCACAGCACGCCAGGCCTCCCTGTCCATCACCAACCCCCGGAGTCTACCCAAACCCATGTCCATCAAGTTGGTGATGCCATCCAGCCATCTCATTCTCTGTCATCCCCTTCTCCTCCTGTGCCCAATCCTTCCCAGCATTAAGGGTCTTTTTCAATGAGTCAACTCTTCGCATGAGTTGGCCAAATTACTGGAGTTTCAGCTTCAGCATCAGTCCCTCCAATGAACACCCAGGACTGATCTCCTTTAGGATGGACTGGTTGGATCTCCTCACAGTCCAAGGGACTCTCAAGATCCTTCTCCAACACCACAGTTCAAAAGCATCAATTCTTCGGTGCTCAGCTTTCTTCCCTGTCCAACTATCACATCCATACATGACCACTGGAAAAACCATAGCCTTGACTAGATGGACCGTTGTTGGCAAAGTAATGTCTCTGCTTTTAAATATGCTATCCAGGTTGGTTATAACTTTCTTTCCAAGGAGCAAGTGTCTTTTAATTTCATGGCTGCAATCACCATATGCAATGATTTTGGAGCCCCAAAAAATAAAGTCAGCCACTGTTTCTACTGTTTCCCCATCTATTTCCCATGAGGTGATGGGACCAGATGCCATGATCTTAGTTTTCTGAATGTTGAGCTTTAAGCCAACTTTTTCACTCTTCTCTTTCACTTTC